GTTGTTGTGAAAAAGACAAAGAAGAATTGTTACGTAAAAAATTAGAACTCAAGGTTCTTTCATTTGTTCGAAATCGAATTTATTTTTGGTAACATAGACTACGTGTCTTCAAATACATTGTGTCACGCATACATAATGTATTAAATAAAATAATGTATCGAACATGTATGTAGTTACATACATACATGTACATCTACATACATATCGTCACCTAAAACGCAAACGGCCCTATCTAACATTTTTAAAATTTTACAGGAGGAGCAAAAAAATATTTAAATTGAAAAGTTTGTTTCTATCAACACGATTTATATGTAATAAATAAAAAATTGTTCAATAGTGAAACCTATCATTTGTTATGATAGTTGACAATGGTGTATACAAACATGAATAAATTGCACTTTTTATCTTCAATATTTAAATGTTTTTGTATATAGGGCCTCTTGTTTTTTGACAATAAAATGGATAATTTTGGTCGGAGGGGTCTAATTTTTGATGGTGTGGACATTTGATTTGACGCAATATATTAGTATCAACAATAAAATCGATTTTGAATTTTTGGTTAGTTAGAGCCATTTGCGTTTCAGCTGACGATATGTTACATACATACGTATGAGCTTCAAATTGTATATTTGTGTACGGGATTTATCAACATAACAAGAAAAAATAGGAAAAGTTGAGATCATCAAATTGACATAAAGCCGCGATGTTTGTTTGGTTACACATCCCTTCTGGTATTGTGTCTGGAATTTTGTGAATTTATTTTAGACATCAATGACGATGCAGAGACTACCATGACGAGTTTATTTCTTGTTTAGTTTCTGTTGAATTAAATTTTGCAAACTGCATGGAGTGCATTTGGCATTCGACTGGTGAACGTTTTATAAAAATAGGGTGGCACAAAAATTTAACTTGCTGGACCAAAGGATAAAATGGTCCCTTTTAAGATTTTTTATACCCTACACCACTTTAGTGGGGAGGGTATATTGGGTTTGTGCTGATGTTTGTAACGCACAATAATATTGGTCCTATACCCACCTTTAAGTATACCAATCGGCTCAGAATCATTTTCTGAGTCGATTTAGCTATGTCCGTCCGTCTGTCCGTCCGTCCGTCTGTCCGTCCGTCCGTCCATGTAAACCTTGTAATCAAACTACAGGTTTTTTTGAAGATAATTCAATGAAATTTGGTACATGATCTTCTATTGTCCCAGTGACGAAGCCTATTGAAAATGGTTAAGATCGGTCCATTATTTCACCTAGCCCCCATACAACTGAACCCCCCAATAGGGCTTGTAATCCTTGTAATCAAATTACAGGTCGCAATTTTGAAGATAATTCAATGAAATTTGGTACATGATCTTTTATTGTCCCAGGGACGAAGCCTGTTGAAAATGGTTTACATCGGTCCATTATTTCACCTAGCCCCCATACAACTGAACCCCTCGAATAGGGCTTTTAAATTTTGTAATCACACTACAGGTCGAAATTTTGGAGATAATTCAATGAAATTTGACACATGCTCGTTTATGGTACCGTAGACAAAGTCTATTGAAAATGGTTAACATCGGTCCATTATTTCACCTAGCCTCCATACGACTGAACCCCCCGAATAGGGCTTTTAAACTTTGTAATCAAACTACAGGTCGCAATTTTGGAGATAATTCAATGAAATTTGGCACATGATCTTTTATGGTATCGTAGACGAAGCTTATTGAAAATGGTTAACATCGGTCCATTATTTCACCTAGCCCCCATACAACTGAACCCCCGAATAGGGCTTTTAAAACTTTTAATCAAACTACAGGTCGCAATTTTGGAGATAATTCAATGAAATTTGGCACATAATCTTTTATGGTACCGTAGACGAAGCCTATTGAAAATGGTTACCATCGGTCCATTATTTCACCTAGCCCCCATACAACTGAACCCCCGAATAGGGCTTTTAAAACTTGTAATCAAACTACAGGTCGCAATTTTGGAGATAATTCAATGAAATTTAGCACAAATGGCACGACAAAAAGCTGCAATAACCAAGTTGTATACTAGACTTGATGACCCCCACGAATTCCATAATAATAGGTTCTCATATGACCCTAGCCCCTATGAAAAGCCCCCATCAAAATTTCACTTAAATGTCCACAATTTTATTCAACAATAAACGGCTTAACAAATAACGGCAATTTTGGAGATAATTCAATGAAATTTGGCACATATGGCACGACAAAAAGCTGCAATAACCAAGTTGTATACTAGACTTGATGACCCCCACGAATTCCATAATAATAGGTTCTCATATGACCCTAGCCCCTATGAAAAGCCCCCATCAAAATTTCACTTAACTGTCCACAATTTTATTCAACAATAAACGGCTTAAGTATGTATATCTAAGGCAAGGTACAATTCTACTTAAATGCTTTATTATGGCAAATAAATCACATTATATTTTTGACAAAGGTGTAGGGTATTATATGGTCGGCCACGCCCGACTATAATTTCTTACTTGTTTTTTTTTTTTGAAATTTAACATAAATTTTGTGCGATCCCAAATCTCTCTACGAAATTTTATGAGGAATCTTCAATAATTAACCCTACCACCCTATAAAGACCCCTTCAGAAAATGACTTTAACGTTCATTAATGACTTAAAAATACGAGTAGAGCGATGAAATTCGTAATGAATAGTTTTAATAGGAACTAAAATGTTTAAATTTTATCATCATCGGTCTATAATTGACCAAACCACACATATAAAGTTCCGTTTATAAAATTACCATAAGGCTCATATCTTGCCTTGAAATTCCAGTAAAGCAACGATATAAACAAGTTTGATAGGAACTGAAATCTTTCTGTTATATCTTATGATGATCAGTGCATATGACATGACTGCCTTAAAAATATCATTATAACAATTCGACATAAAAAGTCTTATTGAAGCCAAAACAATTGTCAAATTTACGAGGATCGGTTCATAATCAACCATACCTCCAATGCTCAATAAATCATTATAAAATGTTATTATGACAAAATATCACCCTGGCGTTTTTACCTATTACCTATTAATATAAGATAATAAAATTTAGAATAACTCGAATGAATTAGTAAATTCTGGTATCAAAAGGATCAATTCATATAGTATAGGATGAATTTCACTTTAAATTTACATCAAACAATTCATATCGTAAAGGACGAAATTCACTTTAAATATACATCAAATAATTGTCTTCTCCATACAAATGGGGCCACCCTAATATGCATACTTATATCCATACGTACATATGTATGTAAGTATGTATTTTCTAAATACATACATATGTATGTACATACATATGTTGTTTTTCGTGCTGTTTTATGAATGATGCATGCGTTTGTGGTATTCCGATGTTTTCACAATAAAGCGCAATATTGTGCAAATGATTGTTTGTTGCTTTGGTTACCAATACGCTCATGGTTACGCTGCTTATGTTATTGGCGGGTGGTGTTTGCATTTCTGTTTTCGTTTATATTTGTTATTCTCTATATTTCACCCCTTCAGCACTGCATTGTGTCTACTTAGGTACAAACAGTGATTATTATAATATGTTGATATTACTACTAAACGGCTATATTGATTTTGTCATTCCCTTTGCAATTCAGACCCCATAAGATACACATACTACATATGTATATACATATGTATGTATATGTTCTGGGTTCATATTAAATTTTAAGAAGATTGACCAATATACATCCGCCTGTTAGCTACATATACATAGTCAAGATTATACCGATTATATGTCCTATCCAGGTGGAGTTCCATATATTATTTAAATATTGTTATTATATCGAAATAAATAATGGTATTTAGCAAAAAACCAACATTTGTGCATTTAATTTTTATTGATTTTATATCGGTACACAAAACGCTAAAATAGTTTCGGGAATAGTATAAGGATATAATTTTAAATGCCGAAATTTCAAACTTAAATGATTTGTACTTTATTTGTTAGACACTGTAGTTAAAATATTCGATAGTGTGACAACATAAATCAACAAACAAACGCTACGGCAACATTGGATTTAAAATTTTCCCCAACGAATTTGACTTGGAGTAAATAAAAAAACAAAAATACACACACTACAACTAAACAAATTGAGTTTTCATTCCTGAAGTACAATCAAGCAGACTTTCAATTTGTTTTCAAATTTTAAAACTTTTTTCAAACAAGAGTATTACTTTGCTCGAGCATCAATAACTTTTTTTTTTCGAAAATACAATTTATAATTAAATATTTAAAACGTTGCTAATACTAGGTGAATTTTTGCAGATTGAAAAACGAATTTTAATAAAATATTTGGTTAAAAATGCGTTGCATTTAATAAAAGGAAAACATATTCAACGCAACTTGAAAACTTTCTTGTTGCAATTGTAAATATTTCAGAAAAACATAGTGCATTTCAAATACTCCATGGAGTTAATTTTTCGGTTAAAATTTAACAAAGAAAATTTGGAAAATATTTCATCATTAATTTATTTTAAATCAACTTTTTTATCCTTTAGCTTTTACTAAGAGGAAAAGGGATTTGAGTCTCATTGAATATAAAACAAAAAAAGGAAAAACTTTAAAGCTTATCGGCAGGACTTCAACGAGAACTGGAACGACAAAGGCAAACACATTGAAATAAGAAAAATACGCGTCGTTAGTTTTATTTTATTTTTGTTGTGTCAAGTAGCAGAGGTACTAGTGGCAGTACTGTTGCCGTTACTTCTGGTGTTGGTGTCATTTTGTCATATTGTGGTGTCTCTTATCTCCATCATAAAAAATCGTATCACTAACGAAAGATTTCATTGTCATACATATTTCTGCATACCCACGATATACTCTCATTCATTCATTCATTCATACTTAAGTATCATACGTATCATAGTCGACATAATCATTATCATCTTCATCGTCAACATCATTATTATTGTCAATACTAGAGGAGAACACCTAAAGTTCCCGGTAACCATCGTCATCATACCATGGAAGATAATCGTATTTTATGGCTTAAGTGCAGCATCGCAAATATGCTGGGTGTATATGAACCTGAATTCGTCAATGCTGCCATCTATGAAAATCTATATGATTTCAAGAGTTTTTTAAATGACAAATATACCAAGAACGAGGATATCAATAAAATTATTCTATACGTTTGGCGTACTTTCTATGACAAGTTGGTCGAGGAGGAGATTACCGTATTGGAAGAGGGTAAGTTGGAGTGCATTGTTGATAAGAAGTGTGTAATTTAAGATATCTTTCTGCTTTCTAACTTGCGTCTATGTATGTGTATGTATGTATTCGTATTGTTAAGGTGGGTTATATGGGTGGGCTATCTTCGTGCAAATCACACATAGAAATAAAAAAAAGGAACTACTTTCTCTTGCTGGAGCCTGTTGGGGGTGTAGGAAGATAAATTTAATTGAATTTATAAGTAAATATTGTATTAGAAATAAAGTTTATTTCCAATGACAATTTGAAGAGCTCTTGAAATGAAAGATTTGCTAAACATTTATTTTCAATATACGAAAATGTTATGGTTTTTTTCGTTTAAAATGCTTTTTCAAAAAATATCGTAATTTTACTTTAAATAAATACGAAAATTAATGTTTATTCCGTACAAACATTAATGATAATTGAAGCGATTTGCTTAGTATTACATATTGCAATTCTAGCCAAATATTTTTAATAAATCAATTGCATGCATTCTTTACGACTGCAATATTTTAGCAATTTCTTAGTTTGACACTTAAGGTATCCTTTTGGAACACTCTTAAATTCATATTTCCATACTCATCTCATCCACTTATCTTTCTAAAATACTGTGTATTGTTTTAAGTACTTTAACGAAATGATAAAACCATTTGAAAACTCCTTCATCTTTTCTGCAATATTTGTTAGCGAGTAACTTTGCATGTGTTCAAGTCTAACTACCAGAAAGGTGGATTATCCTGAGTGGAGTGTTGTGGGGCGAAGAGTGGATGGAGTGCAGTGTTAAGTTGCAAAACAAAAAAGTTGCAAAAACAAAAAACTTTCCAAACTTCTAAAACAGGCGTCGAGTTGACATTGATGCTTAAGCTACGAGCACAGGACAACATCATGTTCAACTTGTTTGTTCTTCATTTTCTAGTCATTTCTGACTGATGCTGATGAAGTAGTCGCTGCGGATTTTATTTTATCGTTTTTCTTTAATACTCTCTACTTTTTCAAGCTTTTTTCTGTTGGAATTTTGATGTATGATAAGGAATGAATGACTAACAAAAAAAAAAAAAAACTGAATATCATTTTAAACGAAAGTGTTGCACATTCATATTTTTGAATGGAAATAAACAAATAAACAATAGGGTATTCGATCGATTAATCAATTTTTCAATATTTTTATTTTGGAATCCCGGACAATACTTTACTCTGGTAGAAAGAATTATAAAATCTTATGAGTATTTTTGGTTTTCTTTAATCTGATTGATATTATATTTGAGAAGAATAGGCAGTCTTTTAATTGAATCCCCTAATAAACATACGGACTATCTAAAGAAAATAAAAATATTAACGTGACCAACGTTAATATTTTACTTAAGAACAGGTTTACTTTCAACACCATAATATTAACATTACATAGTTTAGCTCCCAAGTCATGTAATTAAAAAATAATATTTATTTTAATTGGACAGTTGGTCCCAAGAAATTTGGTGTAATTGAAGCAGAAGAATATATTTCATATTCCTTTTATTTGGCTTGCGTAGTTTTTAGAGATTGGTTAAATTTACTTTACGAATGGCACCATATCCGGCTTAACAAACACTTGGTGTATCCGTTGATGTCCATTGAGGAAAGTCTTATAATTGTGCATCTAATAAGTGTATATGACTCCAGATAATGCTGTATAATATACATACATATCGTCACCTAAAACGCAAGCGACCCTATCTAACTTTTTAAAATTTCACAGGAGAAGCAAAAAACTATTGAAATTGAACAGTTTGTTTCTATCAACGCGATTTATTTGTAGTAAATAAACAATTTTTTAATAGTGAAAACTATCAGTTGTTATGATAGTTGACAATGGCGTATACAAACATGAATAAATTGGACTTTTTACCTTTAATATTTAAATGTTTTTGCAGGTAGGGCCTTTTGTTTTTTGTCAATAAATTCGCTAATTTTGGTCGGAGGAGTCCAATTTTTTGTTTGGACATTTGTTTTGATGCAATACATTATAATCAACAATAAAATCGATTTTGAATTTTCGGTTAGTTAGGGCCGTTTGCGTTTCAGGTGACGATATATTTTTTTTAATTTTTTAGTAAATTGCAAACATTTTTAACTTCACATGAAAATATTTTTTCTATAAAAAGAGTTTAACAATTTTCATTCATATTTTATGGTTTAAAAAAATTAATATGAAGTATTATCTTTGAAAGTTCCACCAGAACTGCCACCGGAAACTGAAAAGAAAGACAAGAAAAGCAAAAAAGGAAAAGGCAAAGGTGTGGCAAAGGAAAAGGAGGCCAAGTCTAATGTCAAAAGCGCCATTGAAAAAGAACCTAAAGGTAAGGTCCTAAAGACGTTGGTGACATGTTCTCCTGTTAGTAGTAAATCTGGTGACTAAAGACATTAATGATTCTATAATTTGTAAAAATTAGGAGAAAGACCATCGTCTAAGGCCAAGGGAAAATCGTCCGATACAGAACGACAGAAGGCGGGAGAAAATACGGCAATGGAAGCTACCGACACAGGCATAGAAAGTGCAACTGAAGACGTAGGAGCCGAGAGTGTTAAGAGTTCTGCTCTATCAGGTAAGAATTTGTATCTCATTCAAATGTTGATTTCTACACATCTAACACTAAAATTACACCTTTTCCCAACACTCTTAGCTAGCGATGAGGATGATGATGAAATTGGTAAATATTTAATTTCTTATTATTTTATTTCATTGGTGGTGAAATAGAAAAAGAAACAAAAAATAGAAAAATAACTAAGAGAAGGGAATCTCATACATATAATTATGTTTAAATTGAAATTTTCATCGTTATCACTTGAAATTTCATTTATATTTAGATTCACTTGATTCCTTTTTATTTCAACTATTTCTTTTTTGTGTGTGCGTCCTTCAAAGGATAAGAAATGATTAATGTGCAATGCGACTTTATTTTTGTATTTTTTTATATTTTCATTGTTAGATTTCTTTTAATTGTGAAACTTTTATTTCGTTACTTTTTTCTTTTGACGTTCATAAATATTTAAAAATCTCATTAATGATATGAACAGAAATGAGTATACATATTTTATCCTTAAAAAAAGATCGTTAACCCTTTAACAGACACCAATACAAAATATATATAATTTTCCTCAAAGCAATGAAACCAAATAGATGTCCTTCTTCTGTTCAAATCTAAAGTTGTATTTAAATAAAATTCCGCGCAATGATTCATCGCATTTGTAGGCTAGACCAAATTCTCATCTATAGTAACACAAGCGCATACAAAAGACAAAGCCATACAGAGTTGTAAAAAATTGCATACAAAAAAGTCATTAATTTGGGAAAGTTTTTCCATTAACGTTAGTGTTTCTTCTTGATTTGTGTGGACTCCTCTATGAATGTGCTCAAATTCATTTATGAATGAACACCAACTACAGCCATCAATTTAGATTATTCATATAAAAGACATGATTGGTTAGAATTGTTCTTATTCTATCTTATGCATTCGCATTTCTGCCTTTTACACATTTTTCTGTTTTTTTTTTCATGTAAAAGCATTTCATTTTAATATAAATTACTTTTCTTTTAATTTTTTGCTCAACATGAAGTTGGACATTTGAATGGGCAAAATTGTCTGTCGGTTAGTTTCTGTAACTTACTCTTGAGTTCGTTATTTCGAATGTATTTCTTTTAATACTTTTTATGCTCTGTGCCAACATTTTACACGTTTATTTTAATCTAAATAATGTTGACATGCTAAATTAATTCATTCGTTTACTAATTCATCCATCTATTTATTCATTTCTTCGGTTATTCTTTAATGCACAAACTTGCAGGTTCCAAGAAAAGTGGCAAAGGAAAAGGCAAGCGAAAGAAAAGAAAGACTTTACTGGCACCATCTCCAGTCTATGTTGAAGTCAAGGTAAGTTCTGTGCATCTATCCCTCGAAACCTTCCCACGAAAACTTTTTTACACCAATTTTCAAAATGAAAGAATGATCTTTATTTTGTGAAATATGTAGTAGATTTAAAATTTCGTTTTTCATTAAAATTACATTTTCTATTACATCTATATATTTGTAAAATTTACAAGTTTCACTAAATGTATATTAGAATGCTCCAAAAAAAAAAAAAAAAAAAAAAACTAAGTTGCGAATTATAACATTATAATTATAATTATTTTCGAACATAAGTTCCAGATTTTCTTTTTTAGCGAATTTGAGTTACAGCTATTACTGATGCCAACAGCTTTGAAAGTTTTTGTCACCAGTAAAATACACCTTTCCCTATCTGTCGAATTTTCTATTAAAATACGACATACATACATATGTGTGTATGTATGTAAAAAATATAGGGTTTCTAAGCGGGAAAAAATTCCCGGGAATATTTTTTTCGTAAATTCCGGAAAAGTTTTGTCGGCAAATTTCGGAAAGTCCATTTGTAGATTTCTTCATAAATTTGTTAAAAATAAACAAACTAAATTTATATAACAAACATTCAAGACGAAACCCTGAATTACGTTCAAGATAATGTTATCAGATATACAAATTACATTTAGAGCGGGTTTTACAGCTCTCGAAAAGGGAAGAAATTACACTTAAGTTTTGAAAATTATATGACATTTTTCAAACTTAAGTAAACTTTAGAACCCGGTTCTTACTCCCGGAGATTAAGATAATGATAGTGTTTCGAAGCATAAATTTACGTTTCTAATTAAAAACAAATGTTTAGAATTTCATGTAAAATTACCCAGCAAAAATTGTATTAGTTCCACAACTAGTTCTAGAACGCATGATTATAGCCTGTAATCGTTCCACTTTGGCGTTGAGACCAATGATTTTTGTTCGAAATTGTCACCTTCGGAACTGCTTCTGAGGAAGCAGTCGGAAGTCGTTATTCATTCTTTGGAACGATTCTGAACTAGTTCTTTAATCAATGATTTTTGTTTGAATTTGTCAACCTCGGAACTAGTTCTAGGGAAGCTTTAGAGAACGTATACTCTTAATTAATCTAAAAACAGTTATTTTTCAGGGGATTAGCACCAATTATGAGAAACCGTTAAGGAATTATTAATATTGTACCAATTTTATTACGAAAACTTACATACCAATGTCTTATTAACTTAAAATTCATGATCATTCTGCCACACGTATAATAATACTATTTTTTGTACAGGATATACAAAACCAGCGGCTAACTTTCCATTCCACCTTTACAATTCAATAAGGGATAATTTAAAATCCTTATAATTCAGTTGTATGCAGAAATATACATATGAATGTGCGTTTTCTATTTCGATAAAAATAAGTTTAAAAATTTAAATTTGTTGAAATTTTTTTGTAAACTTATTTGACTTTCCTTTGAACTAGTGTAGTATCAATTTATAACCAGTGTCAAAAAACTAATTCCTTAAAACTCTTTAGAAGTATTTTAGAACCAAAACAATGTTTAGAAGAACGGGTTCCAGACATCATTAGTTCCAAGGTTGTTGTTTGAGAATCTGAAATGGTTATATTTGCACTCGTTCTAGAACTAGAGGTTTTTAGAACAAGTTCCGAAATTTTCCTGGGATATTTCTTTTTTGAACATATTCATTGAATGTATAAAATAAATTAAATAGTATTCCTTAAAAATTAAATATAATTTTTACCACATTCTAATGATACAGAAACGATCGAAACTTATAAAAAATACATTGTGTCTTTAAAAAGTTTCAGGTTATCATATATCGAAAATTGTTTTATAAATTTCCCGGGATTTCCGGGAATAAAAATTTTTAAAAGTCAATTCCCGGGATGGGAAAAAGTGCGGGAAATTAGAAACTCTAATAAAATACCATATTCTGTAATAGATTTTCATCATAGTCAAACTTCTGACGAAAATCTATGTTTTGAAAACTCGACACAAAATCGATATGACTTCGAAATGCAATTAGTCAAGAAATTCTTTTCTATAAGAAAATGTTTAACATTTCATTAAATTAAAACGTAATTGTGCAAACAAATTAGTTGTTTTTTATGAAAAGTGAATTAATTTTAACACTCGACTGAAATCAATAATGAGTTTTTATGTGTTGCTCATCCCATATGCCACATCCCACATGAAATTAAAAACAAGATTAGAGCAAAAATATTTATACGGTTTTCATTGTTATATCTTGTATGTTTATTCCTTTTTTTCTTTTTTGCAAACAAAAATATATTATAAATCCCAAATCAATTCATTACCACACCTTCCACACCGCTTTATTATTTGCAAACACACACGAGTATTAACTGCAGACTGATGTAGAATCATTTTAATCCCAAAGGAGAATAAAAATATTATTGCAATAAATATTGTATACAACCCTGTGTATGTATATTAGACCAACTCACTCTGTATAGAAAGCAAAATCGTGTTTTTGTTAACCCTCTCAAAATTAACCTTGATATGTCTTATAACGATTCCCAAAATATTTTCGTCTAGCGATTATCATTCGTGAGCTGGGCTGATTTCCAAAAAATATATGTAAAATTACAGTTTTGCAGATTTGGCAATTTATCGACATTTTGACGATTTTCAGTGCCATTATTTAATTTACCTTTTGATTATTTCTTTAAACAAGATTTTTGTACTAGTATTTTCATATTTATTATCATTATTCCATTTAAAAATTGAAAGAAAATCGATGTGTTTAGAATATTCAATGAAAATGTTAATAAAATTAAAAAAATATGATGTTTTAGAATAGAGGTAGAATGTCCATTGACCAAATATTTGACGTAAAAGCGAACCCATAAGGTCATCAGAATTTAACTTTTTTGGACTTGGACTTAGGTGATGACCTTTACTCATGCAGTACACTGTGTTGGAAGTAGTGTTTTTGGACATTTAAGTCATTGACTAAAAACTTCTACAATGGGTTCTTACTTTTTTGGTAAAATATTAATCATACTTATGAAAAAAATTTTAAAAAATAAATAAGAAAATGCTATTTTAACGAAGTACTGGCACCTCCCGGTATAACGAATGAAATAATGTCAGGCCCTTTCTTTATGTCGAAAAATTCTTTATATAGGATTTATTTTTTCTAGTAAATTTCTTTAATTAATGAGAAAACAGCTAATAACAACGCAAGATGTCAATAATATCTGGACGAATTGACAAATTTGCTTATTGCTATATCTTTAATTTAATTTAATTTGTTAGATCCAAATTTAATTTAAAAGATAAAATTAAACTTTTTGATTTTTGTTAATTTGAACCACCATAATATAGAAAAACTACGTACAATCAGAAAAAAAGAAATTTGCTGAAACATCAAATCGAAAATTTACGTGTGTATGTAAAATTGTTCATCATATGAAAATACTTGCGCCCCCACCAGTTTTAAAATGTGTCAATGTATTTCATTTAGACAACATTTACATTCATTAAAAGTCAAGCATTTACTATGGCAACACTGGCAATCATCACATTAGTTTCCCAAAGTAGTTATATGAAAAGTATGTTTCATTTTTGTACTGTTCTAGTCAACATGATTGGTTTAATAAGAGTCAAATAACTTTCTCCTAGGATAATCAGATGTTGAAATAACTAGCCACATTGAGATTTTTATTAAGTATGAATCAAAGTATATTAATAAAGTAGCGACATCTCTTGTTGTACAACATCTACAACAACCACATATATTTTGTTTTTGGAATAATTTAAGACTGTGTCAAAATAAAATTTCCTTGAACAACAATGTGAACAAAACATAAATAAAAAATATTACTTTTAAGTTAAAAATATTAACAATTTAATTATATTATTATATATTATACAATTTATTACACTTTTAAACTACTTTAAAACCACTTTTAATTCACTTTTTCAACTTTTCACAAATTTTAACAAATAGCAAAACACAATTTAAAAATGGCGACGTAAACAATGTTAACAATTTTCAAAACAAACTTTGACAACTTGCTTCATTTATCTAGTTTAAAAAAAATAGTCAGCTGTTCAAGTGATGCTACTTTATTAATATACTTTGGTATGAATAAGACGCTAAAAGAGTAGGGTTCTATAGTTGAAACGAAAAGTCGACTTTTCGACTTTTTGCATTTTATGAAAAGTCGGTTTTTCGACTTTTTTCATTTAATTAAAAGTCGACTTTTAGTATTTTATAAATAGTCGACTTTTTCCGCCTTTTCGATTTTTTACGACTTTTTGACTATTTTTTGACTTTTTTCGACTATTTTAGGGCTTTTGAATTTTTTCCGCTTTTTTAAAATTTAAGACTATTTCTGACTTTTATCTACTATTTTCGAGTTTTCGACTTTTCCGACTTTTCGATTTTTTACGACTTTTCGACTTATCGACTTTTCGACTCTTTTCATAGACGATAGTCGAGTTATCAATTTTTTGGAACAGAATAGTCGACTTTTCAACTTTTTTCGATTGTTCGATTATTCGGAAGTCGATTTATAGAACCCTATAAAAAAGTTAAATATAAAATACTGAATGTTTACTAGCACTGGTTACTGGTTTACATGCGCTGCATACTGTACTATAAATAAAATAAAACGAAGTACTTCCAAAAGAATAACATTTATCACCACTTCAAAAGTAGCACTAATTGAATTCTGAGGAAGTGATGTGATTTTTATTATATTTGGGCTTTTGTATTAAATGTGTCTATTACCCTAATTAATGTTAATATTATTTAAGTCAAATTAGTTGTATTCTACATAGCTGTAAAATTTCGATTACGATTAATAATCAATTAAATTATTTTTCAAAAATAATCATAATTGATTACGATTAAAATTAATCTAAAAATAATCAGGATTAATTAAAATTAATGAAAATAATCAGAATTAATCAAATAATTAATTTGATTATTTTCAAGGATTAATTTTGATTATTTTTGATTAATTTCAATATATTTGGTACAATTCTCTATCTTTTTACATTACATGTAATGGAAAACTGTTTTTCAAGTTACACACTATTCGATTATATGACTGTTTTATTGAAAACAATATATTTATCAAGTTTATTTCGATTGAAAATCTTGATCTCAGTACAAGATATTAGAAAAAAAATTACTGCAATCTTTTCGAAATGGGTCTTAAAAAAATCCGTAATTTTTAGCGGATTGCCGGAAAAATAATTAAATTTTTCTTAGAGTTTTTTTTTTTTTACTATTATACTAAATATATGGAAAATAATCAAAATTAATCAAAATAATTCTTGAAAATAATCAACTAATTTTTTGATTAATTTTGATTTTTTTTTGGATTATTTTCATTAATTCCAATTAATCCCTGATTATTTTTAGATTATTTTTAATCGTAATCAATAATTAATTAAAAAAATTTAAAATAATCGTTAATTAATCATTAATTTTACCTATTTAATAAAAATAATCTAATTAATAATGATTACGATTATTAATCATTATTTTACAGCTATGGTATTCTATAATAATAAAATTTCAGTTCCGAATAACTTCAAAAAGAAAATTTAAATTACTTCTTGAGAATGACTTCAGAATCACTTCTTCAAGTCTTTTTCAGTACTTCCATGGAGTAAATTCTACTTCTTTTTCGCTTCTTAGGAAGTTTTTGGGAAGTGAAATAAGTAAAAATAACCCACATGAATTTAAATAAAAAGATATACATATATACACAGAAAAAAATAATTCATATCTGGAATGAATTTGGTAATAAATATTATGAATCGAACATGACCTTTTTTCCCAAACCATTTTCATTCAGATTATTCAAAGTTTATAAAATGTATGAGTTTGAACATGATAAAATTTTTTTTAGTTTTTTCTACGATATTCATGGAAAATGTTGAAAAAAGTCCATTATCTATTAAACTGTTTCCATATTCAGTAAATAGTAATTGGTTATTATCGAATTTTGTATAACTAAAAAACAGAAATTGAAATGTTGAAAAACAAAGTCTAAAACCAGAAAACATCAGCAAATATACTTAGTTATCTCTTCTTCATAAAATCCTGCAAATTACCCGCACATTTCATCGTTTTCAATCATTAAGAAATAAACATTTTTCCGAAGAAAATTTCAAACATTTTTAATAAATAGAAAAATATAAAATAAATCTGTAATATCTTAAATCAAGGCTTCCAGATTAAGTTTGAAAATAATAAATATTGAAAAATGCATACCGTTTAGGAATTAATTCTTGAATATTATTAACTTTAGTCAATGAAAGCAGTTCATAATATTTATGCTGAAATTTTTTTCTGTGTATGAAATATTTATTTAGTTTTACCTTTTTACGATAATTTTTTGTATTCATTTCACAGAAAATCATACCAACATTTGTAAAAACGCCAATATTGCATTGCCACTTTGGGGAATTGAAATGTTCACACTTTGACAATAACATCAAATATGTTTATGTGATACGCAAAGAAGTTAGCGGAATACGTAAGTATCTTTGTTACGTTCGTCGATATTAGAGACTTGCATGAGTGACTTAAACAATAAACATTTGTTGTTTTTCAAGTACTGTGTTTAATTCACTCTCATGAGCTCGAATTTTCGATTTTTTTTTAGTTTTTTGGCAAAAGAAAAATTTAAGTGCATAAGTATTTTTTTAACATAACTTAGAATTTCGAACTTAAATTGCAATATTCGAATGTTGTAATCACTTGTATTCAAGACTGTTAAATTTCAGCAAACTCGGGCTACGGGAAGTAGTTTTAACAGTTTAAAAAAATTCAATATTTATTCAAGAACAAGTTTGAATCAATTCATTCGATCCAAACAATCTGTTTTGTATTGTTTTAACATAAACAACTTGTTTACTGCCTCGATTTGAATTAGGGATGCCAATCGGGACTGGTTTTTAGAAATCCCGGGATTCGGGATTTTTAAATAAATCCCGGAATCCCGATATCGGGATCCCGGGATTTTCGGGATTTCTAAATCCCGAGAAATATAAAAAAAATTCAAAAAATCTTAATAATTTACCGACAAAAATAAAACGTTTTATTTCATATTGCAATATGAATACTCTTAGTAGGTGTTTACTTTCCTATAAGCATTTTGTGAAAAGAAAAACAAATTAATTCAAAGTACATACTTAGAATAAAAATCTTTCCATCCCAGGCACTGAATAGTAGAATAAAAACCTAAAATAATACCCATGATATCCAAATTTACAATGGTTTCCAAATAATATTTAAATAGTATGTGTAATGGGGATCCATACGAGGCTACATAGAGCACCTGTACTGCACCTATATCTCCTCCACCTTATATTCCGTGTTCACTAACCAAGGGAATTATCTTCTCGCCATCTTATTGACAGGTTGACTTCCATTATAGATATTCGATAGTATCAATGCCTATTTATTGCACTTTTTATACCCTTAGTAGGGATGGTATATTGGGTTTCTCCGGAGTAGTGCTTTTGTTTTATACTGTCCTAAAATACGCTGATGAAATTTGAAATAATCGGGCTTTTGATCCGAGCCCCCATACAAAACACAGCTTTAAAAAAGAATTAGTGTCCACAATTCGCTTAAAAAGAGAACTGTCGCAATGAAATTCAGCATAAAACATTTTTTGTAACCGTAAATTCGTCCTCCAAATTTTATGAGGATCGACTCATATGATGGCGTCCTTCCCCCAAGCATATTTCAGAAAAATAGTTTTTTAACAATAAAGTGCTAGAATATATCGGAGGCGAGGTATACATTTATTATGAAAACTAAATTACATTTTACTCTCATAACTGGTGTATGGGGTTATATGGTCGGCCTCGCCCGCCTATAATTGCGTACTTGTTATTTTTATATATCCGATAGTATCTATGCCTATTTAGTATAGCAATGAAATTTGATATTAGTAAATCCCTGACGAGCCAAAACCTCTCTACCAAATTTTATGTGGGTCGGTTCATAATTGACCCTACCCCCATATAAGGTCCCGTTAAAAAAATGACTTTAACGCTTATTACTGGCTTAAAAATAGCGATGAAATTCGATACACATATGTTTCATGCGAGTTAAAATCTCTTTACCAAGTTTTATGTGGTTCGGTCCATAATTGACCCTACCCCTACATAAGGTCCCATCCAGATAAATACTTTAACGCTCATTACTGGCTTACAAGTACGAGTGTAGAGATGAAATTTGAAATAAGTAAGTTTCTTACTCGCGAAAAGCTAAGAAACTTTTATAGGAACGTAAATCTTCCTACCGGAAAGTGTATGAACCAAAATTGGTCTAAAAAATTATGAAAAATTTTATAAAAACGGTCAATGATTCACCCTACCTCTCATATAAGGTCCTATCAGTAAATTTGATGAGTAATATCACCCTGATGTTTATAGAAAAGCATTCCTTTTACGGCATACGGTTTGATGGTGGGTATATTAGATTCGGCATAGCCGAATATAGCACTCTTACTTTTTTTTTTTGATATTTCAGCTTGTAAGTTAGTAGAGTCATCTTAAGTCCAAAAACTATTAAAATTATCTTATTTAGTACTTTATAATGTATAAAATAGCGGAAAAATACTTAAAAATTCGGGATTTTAAAATCCCGAAATTTCCCGGGATTTCATTTTTTAAAATCCCGGTTTTCGGTACTTTCAAATCCCGAAAATCCCGGGATTTTCGGGAATCGGGAATTCCCGTTTGGCATCCCTAATTTGAATGTAGTCACTTGATAGTACTCATAATGTTTGAGTATAACAAAGCTCGTAAATATGTTTTATGCGAAACAAACAAAACATTGTGGGTAGCATACAGAGTTACACATGCAGATCTTTCGATGATATACAAACATATCGTCACCTATAACGCAAACTTCCCTATCTAATATTTTAAAAATTTTACAGGAGAAGCAAAAAACTATTTAAATTGAAAAGTGTGTTTCTATCAACGCGATTTCTTGTTATTCAATCAACAAATTGTTAAATAGTGAAACCTAACATTTGTTATGATAGTTGACAATTGTTGGAATTGTTACCTTTAATATTTAAATGATTTATAGCCTTTTTGTGGCCTTTTATTTTTTGTTAATAAAATCGCAAATTTTGGTTCGAAGAGTCCAATTTTGTTTGTGAACATTTGCTTTGATGCAATATATTCGATTTTGAATTTGTGGTTAGTGAGAGCCGTTTGCATTCCAGGTGACGATATGTATGTACAACTTTAAAAAATAATTTTAAATAAATTTTGAGAGGGGTAATAAAAATATGTCTTTGATTTCCATACATACATAGTAAGACTGTCTAATGTACAGATGTATGTATTTTTTTAGGGTCGCTGATGTTCCTGTCGAAAAAAAAAATGTAATTTATTTCTCAAAATTTATGTCCTGACGTCAATGTTTAGAAAGCTGAATCAGAGGTAATTTTTTGAGGTTTTTATGATTTTTACAATATTTTGAAACGTCATTTTATGCGCCCTTCCCACCAAAATTAGATATCAATAGTCAAATCAAAATTTGATATTATCTTTGTGTGAAATATAAGAAAATGGCAAAACCTTAAAAAATTATCTTTTTATTCTGCTGTTTCAACTAACATCGACCCCAGGAAAACATTTTGGAAACGGTATCATAAAATGAACAAAGCTTTAATTTTCGGTGGTAACATCAGTACCTAATTTTTCCCTTACAAACGGGAATCTTTCAAAAATTGTTATAATATGACATATTTTGCTAAACTACTACTAAACTACTAAATTTTGAGTTTAGTAGGAAGAAATAAATACAACAATATAACATTTTAATATTCTGTTTCCATTTCTAGCATTCTATACAGACATCAACAAATGTTTTGCGGAAATGTCACAATATTTCATATTTGGAACAGTTCGTGGTTCTTTATTAGACTCAATGAGACTAGACTTGGAAAAGGTAAAATTTGATTTTTCTTAAGAGTCAATAAATAAATCAACAAAACTAAGTATACGATGAAATATTTAAACTGTCCAAGTTTAATTCTAAAATTTCAATGTTTCTAAATCAGTTTGAACGAATATCAATTAATTTCCAACAGAGAAATACACACAAACGATATTAAACACAGATCCTTTTTAAAGATTTCAACGTGTTCACAGTATCTGGCCACCACAGTTTGTTTTGTTTTGTTTTAACACTGTAATAAAGTGTTGAAATGTTGTAATTAATTCTCTTGTAATACTTACATCCTTCCAAACATTTTAGTGTGTATGTATGTATACGTATGTATGTACACACATACATACATATGTATATTTGAATAATAGCGGCAGTAGCAACACCAACAAATCAACATTATTAACCATCTATCAAAATGCCTTGGAGGCATTTCATTTTTCCACTTGAGAAAACATTTTTCTGAGTCAAAAAGCGGTCCAAAAAATAACGAAAATGTTTTTTATCCAGATTCGAGGAAAGAAATTATAACAAAAATCTTATAACGCCATCATTAAATATTTCATTATAGATGTTTTTGTTGTTTTTGTGTTTCCACTTACCACTCATCGTCTTTAACATGATGCTCATTCATCTATACTGCCACGGTTTTCATCATCCTCATTATTGTGTTTTCGGTTTACATTAAAATTTTGTGGTTATAAACCCTTTTTATTTGTACCCAATATCCCACTCTCCGACATTTATTTGTTGCTGCCGCTGCTGTGGCCGCTTTCATTATAGAAAAAGCATAAACCAGAAGTTGAAAAACATTACAGCAAAACAGACCAACAAATACATTACAGAACGTTTGAATGAAAATTTCACATCCAAACTCCCACTATGAATTTTGCTTGAATGGTGCCATTTTGTTTTTAAGTGTCTTAAAAATTTTAATAATTTTCTCTATAAGGTAAGATTTGGTCAAAATGTTAAGAAAAGAACATTTTAACAGCACAATTTTTTAAGAAATCATTTTATTTACCCAATTTTATACTTTTTAATCGATTTCCGGCATGGGTTCCCGTTATCCGATTGGACTAATATTTAACACTAGAAACTAATGAACAAATAAGACCCATCCAAACAAAATCGATATTTTTTGGGCCCCTCTAATGTACACATATTTATACTACATACATATATGTAAAATAAATTGCAAAAAATGTTTGAATTTATTGCGCCGTTTTAATTTCTTAAAGCAAATCAATTAGAAAATATTCTTATGTTGTAGTTCCATGAATATGTAAAAGGTTCGATATTAAGTGAACATTAGATTTTAACTAAATACTTCATAAAATATTAATAATTTCAAAAATTATATGAATCAGATTTGACCATTAATAACACCATTGAATACACCAAAAGATGAAGGGGTTGTCATGTAACAAAAATTGACAATGTTCCTCGTCACTTCTTTTTTTGATTAAAAAGCAACACTTATACTTAAAGCAAAATATCAGATTTAAAAATTGGTTAAAAATTGGTTTTTCAAAGGTAAAACTTAAAAAATGGAGCTTTTTCACATATTTTGCTATCAAAATTATGTTAAAGAAGTCATAGGGGAAAACAAAAAAAAATATATTCGAACTGTATAGACTATAACGATATGGAATTGTTATATAAGAAGCCCTGTATTTTATTTTTCTTCACTTTTGTATCACAGTGTAATCATTAATTTATTTACTTATAGATCTTTAAAAATGCTATTAAATTTCAATTTCGTGAACCCAAGCTAATCGAAGGCGAACAAATTGAAAATCGTGAAACGCATCCAATAAGTAAATCTCGCAACGCTGCCGATTCAACTGAAGTTAAAGAAATGGCGCCTGGTCTCCTCGAACTGTCTAAACCATCGGAATTTCGTATGAAGGCTCTCAAACAAAAAAAGTATGTAAAAATTTTCAAAAATAGCTCTATATGAATTTTTATAAAATGTCGACAATATTTATTTCTGTTGATTGGCATTGAAAATAAGCATATAACCCTGAAATAACCCTGCCCCATACAAATTAGGGCTCTATAAATCGATTTTGTCCATACATAGGTTTTGTTAATAAAAGTCAAAAGAAAACGGAATTTTTGAGTACCATTTAAAAAAAAAAATGCAGAAAAGTTTTTTCATATATTGTACTGAGATTAACATTTTAAATCGCTGGTAGGGAACTAAGGCCCCTTTTCTTGTGTTCAGTACATTAATTCGCATCGATTGAGAAGTATTCCATTAGATTCATAAAAAGGCAGTTCCTCGGGTCACTCTAATGTACATTTCACAAAAATTAGATGCATAGACCTACCTCCGGACTTGATTGATTTGTTCTATAAAATTAATCAGTCTAACTGTGAATTTCAATACATAATTATTATAAGTTTTTTTTATTTGCTTTCTGGTTTTGTATTCTTAAGCCTTTTTTACCCCTCCATGGTTTATCAATATTTAACATCATAATTTATACACATAAACAAGCATAAAAGAAAAATTAAATATAAACAAAAATAGTGTTATATTCGGCAATGCCGAATCTTTTATACCCATCATCGAACGATGTGCCCTAAATTTTAATTGAATTTTGGACAATCATTTATTACATTTATGCTGAATTTTATTGTACATACTTATGTATGTATATCGATATTATTATTGACATTATTTATTTATTGACAATAAACAAACAATTGGCTAGTTGAAATCGTGGACCGATATTTCTCATCAGTACCAAACAGAGAATAGAGAATTAAATAATGACTCAGAATACATACATAATATAAATAATCCTGATCTCAGTACAATCTTTTTTGATGATAGGTACAAATTAAACGTGGGAAGTTTCATATCAAAATTAACAAATAAGATAGTTAGTGCATAGTATAGTGAATATATACACATGTTATCATTCGATATTTATGTATATTTATCAACACTGTTCCAAATAAGATTCAATAAATTTAAAATACTACAGTATATAATTTTTGTGTATGAAACGCCGCTCTTTGTATTTATTCCACTTGTATAGGAACAAATCAAGGGAGTCACTTTTTTGTACGTGATGTTTAAATTACAATAAAAAATCTGATAAGGGAAATTTGCTTTTCAGTTATTCTTGTGTTATTGGTAATTTTATTTTCAGGTTTTTTATTTTTGGTCTTCAGTTATTTTTTAATCGGATTTTTCTACTCTTTTGCAATTAAGTACTTCTTTTATTTTTTTGGTCTTTGCGAAATTTTTCAACACAAAAATTTCTTTGTGAGATTTAAGTTGCCATCCTCGAACAGAGCAAAGGAATGAATATTTTGTCCAAAAAAAAAAGAAATAAAAAAATAACAACAATAAATAAAGGAAATCAGTAGTAACTCATCAACACAAGCATTCGTCCGAAAATAAAACACAAAAGAACACAACGTCATATGCGAATTTTAAATGAGCTATAACTATAGTAAACTTTGTATTATCTCGCAAAAATGATGTGAATGCAGAAGTGTATGTAGGGTATACATATTTATGTTTTTGTGTACGTTTCCATACGAGAACAAGATATAAAACACAAGGAAAATTATGTATATCGCCAGACGAACGTGCACATATTTATGTAAACACATATGTATGAATACAGAGTGTAAAAATTGTAAATATTTTATTCCTAGGAAAAACGATCCTTAAGCTACCCAGATGAAAAAAGAAATAGGTACAAATAATAAAGGATAAATCATTTATTGAGATTTAATAAGCGAATAATGATACATATTGTTCTTATTGAAAACAAATATTACAACATATGTAATTAATTTCAAACATTTCTTTGCTGTAAACTCATCTTTGCTTTTTCTAAATTTGGAAAAACAACAAAGTATTCTTGTTAATGGATTTTAAATACATACATACATATGTATATTATTTATTTCGCGGCACAGTGGTATATAATAAAAAATTGAAAAAGGGCACAAAAAATCTAAATTCTAAACGTTTAGTCCAATTTTACATACTTAAAGACGATTTGCTATAGAGTGTTTTGAATTTTTGGGGGCGTGGTCCAAAGTAGATCATATTGGTTAAGTAAAATTTTTAAAACTATCATAATTCTTCGTTTGTGGTCCGATTCAAAAAAAATTGTTCTATAAATGAAATCAGCTCGTTTTTTTAAAATTACTTATTTCTGACCAAAAGAAAAAACATCTATTTTTTTGCAAAAAATAAAAATCAAGAAACAATAATTATATAAAAATATATATACCAAATGAAATAAAAATCAATGATTTAAAAAACATAAATTTTATAAAAATCTAGTTCAAAACAATAAAAATTGAATATTTGAAATTGTTCTCCGATATTTTTCTGTGCTTGATTTTTTTCTTTAAAAATTTAAAGATAATAACTACCTTGTCCTACTGAAGAAAGAGTATCCAAAAATGCTTAATATTTATGCTTAATAATAGTATTTGCAAAGATACAAAATTTAATTGGCGACCTCTGGCCATGAACCCGGAGATCCTTAAAGTCCAAATTCAAAACTTAAACTGGTCAATACTTCTTCTTTTCATTAAAAATCAGACTATACGTGTTTCAGATTTATATCCTTAATTTGTTATATATTTTTACTGTGCGCTGTGCTGTGTTTCCTTTTTATACTTGTTTTAGTAGAAAAAAAAATTGTTTTTATTTTGTTTAAATTCGTTTCGCTTATCAGCAGGAGCTTTTATTACTTTTGTGTTAATTTTCCATTTTTTTAGGTTTTAAGTTGCTCTTTTTTTGAGTTTAATGTATTTTATATTCGTATGTTTTTTCTGTTTTAATTTATCTCCCTTTGGGTTAAATATTTTTCATGTGCCTTTGTTAAATTGTTGGCCCTTTTCCACTGCCTTTCCTCATTTTATTTGCATGAACGAGTGTATGTACACATGTACTTCCATCCGTCTTTATTTTTGTCTATCTGCTGGCCTCTTGTCGACAAATAAACCCTTTTTCACTGATTTAACAATAATTATTATTGGATTGTTTCATGAAAATGTTTAACAAAAAAATTACATACAACCAAAAAAAAAACATTTAAACATAAAAGGAAAATGGAGAAATTAGCTGCGAGACGAAGATCTGAAGCACATAAAAAAGCCCTAGGAAAATCAATGAAGAAAGGGCAATCAGGCATTAGGCATACTTCTCATGGTATTGGTAGTGGCAATGGTAGCGAAAATGGCGACATTGTTGACGAGGATGAGAGAGAGGAAATTAACGCAGATGATGCAGCAAAAGACAGTGTTTCTATGGACTCCACAGATGAAGATTTAGGTAAGTGTGAAAATATTTCAACAACAAGAACGGAAATCTAATTACCTTTAATAAAGACAAACTGATTGTTTATTTTTGTGTTCTTTTCGCAAATGTGCCAATAAAAAGGGTACAAAAAGAATAAACAGCAGACAGAATACAAACAGAAAAAACATAAACCAAAAGTACCTATAAAATCGTAAAATTAGATTGTGTCAAACTGAAACAAAAAAAGAAGACAGAAAAAGAACGGAAACATGGAAAACTTAGAACAAACTAAAACCATAATTGATATTAAATGTTGCTTTCTTTTTCTTATTTCGTTTTATGGACCCTTCTTAAATGTAATCAGATAAACGGCCGGAAGTAACACTCACCATTGGGGAACGATGGGAAAAGCTTCTTAGTGAAACTCATGAAAAGGTAAAACGTCATCACAAAGAAGCTGAAAATGTAATAGAAAAACGCCCACCACATCAGGAAGCTTTTTTTAATCAACTGAAAGATTTCGAACAGGAAATAGAATGGACCACGAATCATATTGTTTGGGCATTTAATTTTCCAACATCATATGCAGCTCCTGGACAAGAACATATCGAGTTTGAGGAGTCCAAAGTGCGAATTCCAATCGACGTAAAGAAAATTAATTCGATACCTACGTACTCACCAGAGCAATTAGAAGATGTGGTCGATGGCTGGATAAGATATATGAAGAAAACAATTAAAACTCTAGATGAGAAGGTAGGAAATCAATGATTATACTAATTTTTTTAAATCTAATATAATCATTAATAATCAATAATCATAATATAATCAATAGCCTTTAGATGAATTTACACCCATGGCGGAATATCGTTTATGGCATTTTCGCGAAATTGAACTCAACACATTGCTGGAACAGTTAAAGTCCAGTTTTGTAGTTGCAGTCTTAGGTGAGCAACATATATCTTATCGAACACTTCTGTTCATAAATGGGAAATTATCTTTTTAATTTAGATTTTATTGTTCCATAAATTATTCTTTTAATAGTACCATACATGGGAGTAATTAATTATATCGACTAATTAATTGACGATTTCATTAGCATTAAATTGAAAAAAAAAATATAATATTGTCTAATTGTAATGCGTTTTAATGGAACGATTTCACTAGTAATTATTTAAAAGAAATTTTCATTATTCAATGGTATAGAAACAAATAATTGTTAATGCCCTAAAAATTATTTCGAGACATTTCAGATTCGAAATTTGAAAATGGGAGGAACTGAAAACAAAACAAACTAAAATAATATTATTGTAAAACCCCATGATTTTGAGTTTATTATAACAGATTTTAAAAATGTTCGAACATAAGTTCGAATTTCGAAGTTAATTTTGAATATCCGAACATTATATTGGATTGTCATTAGGTGAAATCATGCATACCAAATTTCAGCCCATTCGGACTACAAGAACTAGTGTCAACTCTTTTAAAAATTTTGGAACACGAGTTCGAATTTTCGAAACTTATTTTTTAGTTTTTATGAACCAGAGAATATTTTAAAAATAAAAATAACTTCGAATTTTCGAACTTAATTTCAGCCAATTTGGGCTACGGGAACTGGTTTTATCTCGAATCTTCGAAAAATTTTCCTTAATATATGAAATATAAAGAAATTTTCGACAATTATTATTTCTAATTAATTTTTTTTTTTTTTTTTGAAAATTCATTATCAAATTCATTACCATTATCATAAAAGTTATAATGAAAAATATATATAAAATTTTTTCTATAAACGGTAATGAAATTTTAATACTTAATAAAAAATTCCCATGTATGAATAAATAGTACGAACATTACCGCCAAAGTAGCTGCTTAAAGTTAAAAAAATCCTGATAAATATGTTTTAAGCTAAAACTCAAACATTTAAGCGAGGATATTTTCCACGACGTAGGACCAAAAATACAAATTAAAATTAACCAAATATTTTAAATGCTCCTGAATAAATTGACTTTTTTTTTAACACAGGTATACATTTTATTTATAAATTGTTTAACATGGTTACTCGTTCAATTAATTTATAATCATAAACAAAAAATACTTATGTTTGATAGATTAGAAATTATGAGTTTTTAGAGAAATTTTAGCTTAAAGTGCTTATTACTACAACATGCAACCACTCTTGACTATAAATTTGTTGGACTTATTATTTAAAATTTTGGGAACAAAAATTCATTTAAGAGATTAAACCAATGTAATTAAATCTATAATAAAAAGTTAATTTACTATATATGTATGTACCATACATGGGAGTAGTTAATTATATCGACTAATTAATTGACGATTTCATTAGCATTAAATTGAAAAAAATTATAATTATTTTTTTTCATTAGCATTATTTTGTCTAATGGTAATGGTTTTTAATGAAACGATTTCATTAGTAATTATTTAAAAATAAATTTTCATTACCATTATTCAATGGATTTTAAAACTTTTCGAACATTAGTACGAATTTCGAAATTAATTTCGAATATCCGAACATTATAATGTATTGTCATTAGGTGAAATCATGTATGCCAAATTTCAGCACATTCGGACTAGAAGAACTAGTTTTAACAGCTTTAAAAATTTTTCGAACACGAGTTCGAATTTTCGAAATTTTTTTTTTTTAGGTTTTATGACACAGAGATTAATTTAAAAACATAAAAAAATTTTCGAAAATAACTTCGAATTTTCGAACTTAATTTCGAATATTCGAACATATTATTGTATTGTCAGCAGATGTACTTATGACTGCAAAATTTCAGCCAATTTGGGCTACGGGAACTGGTTTTAAAAGCTTTCAAACCTCGAATCTTCGAAAAATTTTCTTAATATATTTTTCGACAATTATAAATACTAATTAAATTCGTTTTTGAAAATTCATTACCATTATCAAAAAAAGTTATAATGAAAAAAATATAATTTTCATTAAATGGTACTTAAAATATTTTTCATTACAATTTTTTCTATAAATGGTAATGAAATTTTAATGCTTAATGAAAAATTCCCATGTATGGTATGTACATATGTATGTATATGTATTTAAACAATTTTTTTAAAGATACACTAACATCAAATCAATCACAAATTCTACAACGTTGGTCGGAAATTCTTACCAAAATTAATGACAAATTCCGTTTGGCAAAAGAAAATGCTGACTATGTTGGTACCATCACGGACTATCTAGAGGTATATTATGGAAAACATTCAAAACACACATACCTCCTTTGCATAACATTATTATCCTCTTACAGAAAATACGCTCCTATGAAAGCTTTAAAATGACAACCCTCCTCATCCCGAATGTTATGGTGGGTTTACGTCACATATGGACCATGTCAAGTTATTATTGCCTTGACGATAAAATGCAGATTTTGCTATGCCAAATTTCCAATGTCTTTACAGAGAAGGTCAAAAATATTGTATGTTTTGAAAAAATATTTCGGTAAGTACTTTTCTACTGGAGAACAAACATGACCAAAAATTAAAAAAAAGAAAAACATTGAAGAAAGTAATAAAGATAGATAACAAAAATCCATCAACATTCATATGTATATGTGTCCGTGTATACATTATATTGCATCAAAATAATAAACTTTCAAAATGAACCTTGTATGAAAAATATGGTTGAAAAAGCTCTGTATTTTTTCAATTTTATATGCAAACATTCTCAAAAAACAATTCAAAATTATTATAATATAAAAATAATCAATATAATATAAAAATAATCAATAATCAGAAAAGTTTCTTAAATTATGTAAGTCCCGTAAAATTTATAGGCAAGACAATTATTTAGTTATTAAAAAATATATACATATATATCAAATATCTGCAGGGAATTTAGTTATCCATACAAACATGAACCATTATAATGTATGTAGTATGTACATTAGATTGGCTCAAAATTTCGATTAAGTCTTTGGTTCATTAGTGTCTGAAACGAACTGGTGTAAAATTTTAGCTTAATCGGATAATGGCAACCCTTGCGTAAAATCGATTGATTCATGTAAAATTCCGTAAAAAAAAAATAATTTTCAACGCCATAAATAATTTAAATATCTTGCATTTTTTGCAATGTTTGCATGTTCATATGTATGTAAAGGTGATGTGAACAAAAATATAAAAAAAAATATTTTTGCACATATTTGCTGAAAGAACATCTGCCATATTCATAAATGCTTTATAAAGTTTTTGGTGGTTTATTGTTAGAATTTGGCATGAAAAATGTGCGTAATAATTATAAAAAAAAATATTGATATCTTCAGGAATACGGGGGAGTGCATATAAGTTTGTTATTTGAAACTCGAATTTTCTCTAGAAGATAAGTTAATTGATAACAGTTCTATTATTTACCCAATTTTAGACTTTTAAATTGATCCCTGTTATCAAATTTTACACAAGAACACTAATAAATGAAATAAGATCAATCCAAACAAAATCGATATTTTTTGGGCATCTCTAATGTACATATGTATATAAATGTGCGGAGGATTTGACAAGAACCTATTGATTGCCTACCACATACTTTGTGAAACTCACAAACATGCTTACATACGTAAAAAGTACTTCAGCTGAGGGTTCTTGAAAAATTTAACTCAAGTTAACAATTTTTTATCTTTAAAGCTTTTAAAATTCAAACCATAGAAAGTTAAAAAAGACTACTATATAAGTCCTCTATGAGTACTGCACAAATCAACCCCACTTGCACAAACAAAGACATACTAACTGCGTAGATATACCCTGCAGTTTTAAAGTTTATTTTGACATCTCTTTATCAAATATTCGTGAAAACATGAGTTTCAGTTTTAGATAAAAGGAGAAGTGTATGGAGGAGAATGTATAATACAACATATTCAAAGAATTACACCTAGCCCTTCATCGGTCCTGTTATACACTCCCTTTAATGTCTTACAAAATCTTTAATTCCTTTTTTTATTACATTTTTTAATTCAAAATTATTTTATCACTATATGTATATGTATCTATGTATATACATTTAATATTAGTGTTTTAATTCAAATTATTGCAACCCTTTGTTACTGACTGTTATTTTTTCTACACTACCCAAAACACGTGTAAAGAATACTCCTCAAAGGACTGGTCCAAAACTAATCCAAATATATGGAAAAAACATATTCCATTTAACATTGTGATGTCCACGTAATCCATCAATGCATTACAATGGTGTAATCCCGAAATTAGTCCCTTGCTGAAATTATGGAAGTACATGATTCGCAACATGGTCCTATGTAATTTTTTTTTTTTTCAAAAATAACAAACATGATCCATGCCTACATTACATAGGACTACTCAACGGATCATGTACTCCTATAATGTTTACAGCTGAGTAGTTTTTGGATTACCTAAACGGATTATGTACTCCAATAATTTTTGCAGGGTACCACTGAATTGAGTTATAGTAATAAAAAACATTATCACTAAAAAAATATTAGTGCTAAAAATATAAGCTTCACGACCACTAAGCTGCTGAAAATTAGTGAAGAATTATTTTCTAAAATAATATTTAGCGCTAGTGAAATGTTGATTTAACTAAAAATTTAGTGCACTACCCCTATCTCTGCTATTAGCTTACTTTTTCAAAAATATTTTCTATTAAAGATAATCGTTGAAATGAAAAACTCATTACATTACATCATATGATCTCTCACATTTATGCATTTTTTACACAGATATTCCTCAAAGTTTACGTATGAAACAGCTACAAATTGTGCTAATTTACTAAAATGTTGGAAAACCGCCTACTTATTAAGCCGCAAGCATATCGAAGAATCTGGGGCAGGGTCTCGATGGGAATTTGACCGCAATGCACTTTTTAATGAAGTTGATCATATATGTCGCATAAGTCGAGATATTGCTTCTATTGGACGAGTCTTCATACAATATGAAAATCTTTTTGGAAAACGCCTTAAAGGATTGATAACACACCCCTCGCTCATAGACGATCTCATGCGTAAAGTGTATCGTCTATTAGACGATATGTTAAATAGTGTTGATTATGATATTTTTCGACCTGGTAATTGGGAAAATTGGGAACACACTCTGAGTACATTCAATAAACGCCTAGACTCAGTTGAATCTGAGGCCAAACTGGTCATCGAAAGAAGCATAACCATGTTAAGATCATCCGAATTAGGTTTGTCATTAATTCGAGACGTTAAACATTTAGATACACGTCAAGCGCTTACTGAATTTATTTCAACAAAACACGAAAACTTACTTCGATTCTTTGTAACGGAAATTAATGCGGTGGAATATGAATACATGGTAAGTTGTATAAAATACTTCATTAAAATTACTTTAATTTCTTTGGATAGAGAGATATGATCAGTTGAAAGAAAATTATAATAATTATTAATAAATATAAATAAAACATGGTAAGAAATTAAGATATTTTATTATAGAGAGATATGATCAGTTGAAAGAAAATTATAATAATTATTAAATAAATATCAGCAATATAGAATTTGAAAACATGGTAAGAAAGTAAGATATTTTATTGATTAATAATATAATATGAAATCAATTGAGAAATATTATGCAACCCTGATGTGGTGTTTTTTATTAATTGGTTTTTCTTATGTTGGTTCCATTTTCTTCCTTAGAATAATAAAAAAGCTCCACCGATTGGTAAACATCAGCCAGCAAAAATCGGAGCCATACAATGGACGCGTCTATTAAGCGCCAAATTAAAAATATCTGTACTTGCTTTTAAACGTGTAAGTGATCTGTATTTTATGTATAATGTTTTAGTTGAGTGAATTCTCTTTTTACTTTTTTTTTTAATTTTCAAGTACACCATCGCCAAAACAATAGCCCAGGAAAATGAGGGTTGTGCTGCGGAATTTTAGATAGCTAAATGAAAATTGACACATAGCTTCTCCTGAGCATAATTAGTAAGGGATTAAAAGTCACCGAAAATATCGTGTACGATAAGCGAGATATTGGAGGTCAAATGTTACAAAAATTTGTTTTTAGCGAATATCTCGCTTATTATGCATCGTACGCATTTTGATGTTATTATAATTTCTATAGAGAATTGAATTTTCAAGTCTTAATAATTTTTAACTCCAATACAGATAATTTCGCATTTTTTCTTTCTAATATTAGCTAAAAATACATAATTAATGTCTGTTATATCCCTTACCATAGCATCATCTTCTTGCCCATAGTGCAATATCCGTCTCTCCGAAATTTCCAATGGGGTCACATGTCACAATTATGAATATAATATGAATGAATATAATGAAACAAATTAGTCGACATATGCCCGTATTTTCAACAAATAGATATCTACGAGTGTAATTACCTATTAGATATCATTACCCAATCGGTAAAATTGATTTGGTAATCTCAATACTAATTTTACCTATGTTCGAGTTTCTATCTAACAGAATTTTTTACAAATATATATAGTTAAGATAGAACTAGTCTTATAACTGCCGGTCCTGAGAGACTGCGTGAGAGAGAAAGAGAAAGAATATCATTCATCTCTCTCGCGGTAAGGAGTTTCTCGTACTCGGAAACGTGTTTTGTTTTGTTATTCTTCTCATTCGTACAACAACAAATCAATGCAATTAAAACGTAGTTTCAGAAACAAAAGTTTCTATGTGTGGACATTAAGGAAACTTCAAAAGAGAATTAAGAAAAGTTTCAACAAAAGTTTCCTAGTGTGGACTAGGTCTAAGCATACGCATCAAGCATGTCCTGTTAATTTAAAGTGAATTTCTGAGTATGGACTTTAAGAATCAACCCTTTTATTTGCAACCGCGATTTATAATAAAATTCAGTATAAATCTAATAAATGAGGATTTATGCAGAATTTTATTATCATATATCAATATTCTAGATACCACTTGTATATGAGCTATGTGAAATCATAGACAGATATTTCTCTTTTTAAATACCAATGAAAACCTATTAATATCTCCTCCCTTGTGCGCTCTTTCAAATGACAGACGGACGGAAATGAGTAGATCGCTTTAGAATATTCTTTTGTGGGTGTACGACCAATATTTCTATGTGTTACAAATAAACTCTATAGATTCCATTTCATAGTCCCACAGAGTATATCTCCCAAAATGCACTCTTTTACTTTAAATATGTGGATTGTGACCACCAATGTTTTTCTAATTCTGATCATAAATATGACCTGTGATACTATCTAAAATTATGGATAGACGGACATTGCACTATGGGTCATAGAGCCAGTTTGAGATAAAACGTGAAATAATGTACAACCATATATTAACTGCTTATGACTAATTTGTTATTAGTACAATCTATATTAAGATTTGAAAATATTAGTGCAATGGAAAATAATTCACTATAGCTCGAAAACAACTAATAATACGGAAAAATATTCTTCAACCAAAATGTAGGAAATTGAATTCTTTATAGAAATTATAATTACATTAAGATGCGTCGACGCATGTTTAAACTAATTTTTGTAACCTTTGACCTCCAATATCTCGCTTAGCGCGCAAAATATTTTCTATGACTTTTAATTCCTTACTAATTATGCTAAGGGGAAGCTATGTGCCAATTTTCATTTAGCTATCTGAAATTCCCCAGATTGCTTATTTATTTGCCTACTTTTCCTGGGGTACAAGTGATTTGTTAAACTGGCTCTAACACCTAGAAAAACATTCGAACATTTTATACAAATACTTAATTTTTTTAAAACACATAACGACGAACGTAACTGATCCATTCTACATTTTTATAATCAATTTTTTATGTGTTTAAACCAAATTTAAAATTCAAAATACCTCTTTTTGATTATGGGTATACAAATTTATGTATATGTATTTATATATGTATGTGTATACAGTAAAGTTTCGTGTTACTGTATTTTTCTAAATACGTGAAACTTAGAAAAAAAAAAAATTGCAAAGAAATCAGTACATATGATACGTTCATTGATTAAGAAATGAAAAGGTTCTGTAGTTCGAAAATAGCTTTTCAAGGTAATATTATTTTGAATATTTGCTACGGTGATCGATTGTTCGAAATTTTCCAAAAATGTTAAAAGATTATCGCTTGTATTTATAAAAAATTCTTATTTTGCTTTTAATGCAAACAATAGTTAAAGCACACTTTAGCCTTAAAAACCATTAATAAAAAATGATATTCATAAACAAATAATAAAGCAAATTAACTATTGTGCTCTTTTATGTTTAACTTGGCAGCACTGTACAGTTTGACTGCCATTTTATGTGTTAGTGTTGCGTATATCAATATTTGCAAAACTGTATTAAAAATTATAAGGAAAATAATAAAAATAACAAAATGTGCAAGAGTGATGTTTATTTTGTCGCAAAATATCCGTTATGCGGATATATATATATATATATATATATATATATATATATATATATATATATATATATCTATAAAGCTATATAAGCCATATATATATATTTATATATATATATATATATATATATATATATATATATATATATATATATATATATATATATATATATGGCTTTAATAAATGTTTATTTAGTTCAGATGTATAAATAACATATAATTTCTAATTATTATTAAAAGTATCCGTATAACGGATATTTTGCGACAAAATAAACATTACTATTGCACATTTTCTTATTTTTACAATTTATAATTTTTAATACAGTTTTGCAAATATTGATACATTTTTTTGATAATTGACTAATTTTAACGAAGTTAAATATATTTTGCATTAGTATAACACTAATCAATATAATTTACATGATTTATTACTTTATGGCATTATATTTAACTAACAAGCTTTGAAAAAGGCAAATCAAATGATTTTGTCCATCATTTGGTTGACAGACGGGCATTTCCAAATTGTCTAAAAATTGTGCTGACCAATTAGAATATTGTTAAATATTCGTGTATTAATATATTAATGCCTAGATTTGTGTTTTTTTTTTTTTTTCAAAATATAATCGTTTAAAATTTTTCTTTGATTTTATTTACAAATTTGTAAACGTTAAAATTGGAATTTTTAGATTTTATTTTAAAAGAAACCATAATTATTTTATTTATCAACCTAAAATTACCGAAAAAAGCTTTATCTGAAAAAAAATTTAAATCTACTTATTGTTGGCTTAAAGAAGGTTCGAGCCTACAATAAAATTCTTATATTTGTCAATGGTTTATTGAAGACGTTGTAAGCTATTTGACGTTAATGAATACGATTTTCCTGAATTTTTCCTAAAATTGTTTAATAAACCTAAAATAAGTTTTTATAAATACAGCCGTATAACTTTAGATGTGTACACAATTAGGGAAAAAGTATGACACTTCTGTTAAACTGACCTTACATATATACATATATGTATATTTTAACAATTTGTTTTTAAACAAGGGTAAATATGGGCCTATTCTTATAATTGTTTTTCAAGGATTTCTGTTTACATTAACGTTATTTAAGCAGAATTTCATCGTGGTTCTGGTGTTTATATGTGAATTACTGACTTTCAAATTATTTTGTGAAGGGGATTTTGTATGGGGTATAGGGTCAAATAAGATCCGGTCATTACGAAAATCGGAAGTATCATTTAGGCTAACATAGAATTAAGTTATGCCGATTTGTGTAGTGTTACAAGAACATTTATGAGCTCAAAGGCCATTTTTGGGGGGTGCGGTTGTATGAGGGCTAGGTGAAATAATAAACCAATTTTAACCATTTTCAAGAGGCTTCGTCGTTGAAAAGAAACTTTTGTGCCAAATTTTATTTCATATACTATATATATTTTTTTTTGAAAATTGCTATTAAAAGGTTTATATGGACAGACAGATGCTAAATCGATCAGTATACTTTAAGGTAAGTATAAGACCAATATTATTGTCCGTTACATGGACAGACAGGTGCTAAATCGATTAGTATACTTTAAGGTAAGTATAAGACCAATATTATTGTCCGTTACAATCCAATATACCGTGCCCACTAAAGTTGTGTTAGGTATAAAAACATGCACGTAAATTTACAATTCCAAATCAATTTCCCTAAAAAGTTTTCTAAAATTTCTTTCTAAAAAAGTACGCCGGACGGCACACTCTCTAATATATTCCGTATTTTTTGATTTTTTTCCATAAACAACAAACGAACAAATGTTTGTTTGTTCGACCGTATTCTACCCTTTCTCTAAATTTTATGAATGCATTTAGTATAGTACAATAAAACACGATTTTTTCTATATATGTATATATACAGAATTTTTTATTCAGATTACACCCATGCAGTCGGTGTCGGTGGTTTTTGATGATGATATTTGCTGTATTGTTAGTGTTTGTTATTTGTTTTTAAAGATTGAGTTGGATATTCATTCATTCATTGCGAATATTGCTGACGTTGCTACTTCAACAGTTGTAATTGTAATAGTATTGTTTTGTTTCTGGTTTCCTTCTTTTTTTTTGGAGAATTGTATCTTATTGTTACATTTTATACATTGAAGTCATGTATGGACGAACATATTCATATATAAAAACTTACAATTTACGCATACAAACAAACACACAATTTAGCGTTTTCAACAAACATTGCTACAAACAGGAATCGCTTTTTAATTGAAATTGCAATTTTGTTATTTTTTCGCTTATTTTATATGTTTTTTTTTTACAACAGAAACAAAAACTAAAAGAACGAAATAAAATTATTTTTCTGTTACAATGAAACGCGCTAGATGTAGAATGGCAGTCTTATTGTCAGAAATTGGAATGTCTGACAGACTTTCTGACTCACTGATATAAAAATGATTCGACAGCCGGGTTTTCATCGACAAGTCACTTCCACATTGTAATAAAAATTTTGTTTTAAACAAATTTTGCTAAAGAATTATTTCAGTGTATTTGAAATTTTATTTATTATTTTTTTTTTCATTTTTGTTTTAACAATTTGTATATTTCCACTCTGATTCTTTGTTGAGAAAAATTCGCTACATATATAAGAAATTTAAAAACAGAAAATATAATTTATCTTTTGTTCTTGTTTTTTTTTTTTTTTTTTTTGCTAGATGATGAATTAATTTATTGTTTTCCATTTGTATGTTTTATTTTATGATTGCGATGCTTTACTATATATTTTAGATGGAAAACGAACCAAATCTTAAGAATAGTTATCTCAAGCGTAGTGCGTTTAAATCCTACTTTGAATTGGTCAATAAAATGTATACTTATGAAAATAGTCTATTCGAAAGATACTGTTCACAAGCAACGTACATGGTCAATGTGGTTATGAGAAAAAACATCTTAACTATACAAATCTGCAACAAGGATACACGTAAGTTTCACTACTTTTGCCATTCCCATTGCACTTGGTAATACAATTAGTCTTTTTAGTGTCTTATATATCAAATGCTCTGGAAACGATTAAATTGAAAAGGATTAAATCTGTGGATGCCAACGCAAACGCCGCAACAAATGAACAATTTGCTCATGCGGCTCCTACCGGTTTCATACGAAAAATATCCAAGTTCACCGTCATTGCAACAATGATTCAATGGTTTGTAGGCCGCAAAACATCTGCTGATGCACACATTCTGAAGGCAATACAATTTCTAAAACTGATGAAATCAGGGAAAGTTAGGCCCAATGAAAAGGATAAATTTTGTATTAAACAATGTGAATGTATGTATGAAACTTCCAATATAAAACTATTCACTAGACATTACATTTGCTTTAAAAAAAATATTCCTTATAATTTACACTGTGCCTCAAATTTTGGGTCATCGAATCCTTCCCGAATGAAAACAAATGAAAAGGAAAGTAGGAAAACAAAAGATTAATTTTGTAGGCATTTAAATTTTTGTAGGGTATTTTCAAACAAGTAAGAGTTCTATATTCAGCTGTGCCGAATCTTATATACCCTTCACCATGATGTTTTAACACAAACAATCTGTACGAATTTTATTACAAAATATCAAAAATAGCAATTGTAAAACGAAAAAGTACCAGAAGTACCGGCGGTTTATATAAAAATTTAAACTTCGACACCATATGTCGGATAAATTTAAAACTTTAAAGAACATTTCTCACGATCCCTGAAACATATATATTAGACCGACTCACAAAAAATGGTGCTTGAGTTACCCCCCTCAAAACATTCGCTGTTATGTAATATTTTGGATTTAGTGTTGTCCGTTCGTGAGCTGGACAGTTTTCAAGAAAATATTCTATGGGGGACACGATTTTTCATGTTCAATTCAATATTTTACCCAGCTTCAAAAAATCTTTGTTTCGTTTTATGATGGTTCCCAAAATATTTCAAGTCTATCGATGGACGTTCGTGAGCTGGACCGGTTACAAAAAAGTCTCTTTTTAGTAATTTTTTTAAATTCTTCATTTTTTTTAAACAAAGTGGTATCATAAGTGGTATCATTTGAAAGGTTTTTTGAAGCATACATTTTATTTATATTAATGAAAAACATAAGAATTCACATCATTGGAAGCGGCTTTAAAACCCCTTTCAAACTATACCCCATATTGGATATATTGTTCCAAAACAAAACTAAAATTAAAAAAAAAAAAACAGTTCAATAATACATATTTTTAATTTGGTCCAGCTCACGAACGACTTAAAAGATTTTGGGAATCATCATAAAACAAAGCAAGGTAAATTGTGAAAGGGGTAACAAAAACACGTTTTTGCTTTCCATACAGACTGAGTCGATCTAATACACATATTTGAAATTTTTTCATATCAGGTACCATAGTTGCTGAATTTATCGATTACGAACAAAAATTATCCTTTTATTTGCATATATAGATTATAGTTTTAAAATAACGATAAATATTAGAGTATTCAATTATTATGTTTTTTATTCTGTTTATTCGACAAATAATTATTGGCTTAAATCTAGTTTATGCAAGTTTGAGGCATAGTTTCCAAAATCCTAGGGCTGATAAAACTTTATGATCTGAGGCGGTCCATGGTTTCAGAGTTATGACAAACCGGCTATGATGATATTAATGAAAATATCAGTAAGATCTCATATGAATTCCATATACAAATATTTATGAACCCGAAACTCGTAAAATACCTGTCGCCGCCAAATTTATTTATCTTATATTATTGTTCTAAATTAATTTCTACCATTGTTTTTTGTATTATAGTACAGTGCAATCCTCAGTTTTTTCTAATCTTATCTTTTGATCAAAAATAGACTTATTTGGTGCTTTAAAAAAAGGATCTAGTAGTTATATATACTACAAAAATAATTCAAATTATATTTATATGGACAAAATCATCTCATTAATGATTGCATTATTCATTATTATTTATTATTATTTATTTTCAAAAAAAATCAATGAAAATATCTCGAGTTGTTCTTGAGTATCTCTTTTTAGTGGGTTTCAATACTTATACATACATAATGATGATGATTTTTTATTTTTATAAGATATTTTTTATATTGTTACTCAAAATGAAATAAGTAACGTTTTTGTTTTATGACTACGGAAGGGAATAGAGAAAAAATCGTACTGTGATTGAGGAAACATTTAATGGAATTTATTGGTTTCATTGAAGCGAATCCACTAAAAGAACCAACGGCCAAGAAACGAACGAACGAATTAATAGAAGGCCAGCCAAAGATGAAAGACTCAAATGTAAATAATTTTCCATGGTATAGAAAACAAAATAAAGAAATCTATAAAAATTTGATAAATAAACCAACCTAAAATGTATTATAATATAATAATGCTTATTATTACCCTCAACCTACTAAGTTCACAAGATAAAATTACGAAAACGAATCATTGAGTTATTCTTCAAGTAGGTGCTATTCCTTGCATGGCATCTTTTTCCTTTTTGTTGGGACTTACTTAAGTTTACGGCCTAAAGCTTAATAATTTTTTGTTTGTTTTTGTTTCTGTCTCCTTTCGTATTCATTTTCCTCGATATTTAAGGGAAAAGAAACTCAAAGAGTCGCACTCACGTAAAATAAATTTATACACGAAAATACCCTCACTCCTGCTAAATAGGAAAACAATTTCATTGAAATTGCAAAGAGCCTTAAAAAGGGCAATAAAATTAATGATAAGGATTTTATTTAAACCAAATAATATTTAACGTACAAAAACAATCTAATCATCATAACAACAGCAACAAAAACATCCATAATAATAATCATCATCTGTAGCGTCATCAACATAATAACAATCACCATCATCATTACTGAAATAACAAAATCTATTCTTTTCTAAAACAATTCTCCAGTGTTGGTGAAGGCATCCACTCAAGAAGGTTTGCCGACATGGCGTACTCTGGTGGGCGAACGTATATTAATTGAATTTGAAATGCAATTTACTGTCAACTTAACAAGAGGTATGAAAAGCTATATGGGTGGATACTAGATAGCTAGTATTTATGCTAAACAGCTTTAAAGTGGATTTTAATTGGTTTTCATTTTATTCCTCTTCTTTTTAACAAAATTTAAGATATTTTTGAGGTCATGTTTGAAGGACAGCAATTTGAACATTTTGGATTCCAATTACCTTCAGTATTGCGAACTGCAATCATGAAAAAGGAGATGCTATTTAACGACTTTGAAGCCGTTTCGACAGTCATTAACAACTACAATGCCTTGCTAAGTAAGCTCTCGTTATCCGAGGTACTATATTTTACAAATACATTTATTTTTTTACAACAAGATCGATTTTGATGTTTTCAATTATTCTCAGGTGAACTTTTTACGAGATCATCTCTATGAAACCGAAGTAGCTATACAGGTTGGAGTTGGTCGATACGCATGGCAGTCTTTTAACATTAGGAAATATTGTTCCGGTGTAAACACCCTGATGCGTAAACTTCAATCAATTGTTTCCCAAATCAACTACATACGTGATGATATTCGCAATCGTATTGACCGGATTAAAACATTTAATATATTTTTAATCGATGACATCGATAGTTCTACTGAAGACTCCTTACAATTTGACGAGACTGGATCGCCAGGCACAATTGGTGAGGAGGCTGAGCAGTCGGAAAACGAGTCTAAGGTGGAGATAATACGTATAAAAGAGTCTACGGAATCCGTACTGAGTAGTAAAAGGGAATGCGGGATAGCTATTTATCACTGTCAAGGATATATGGAACGTTTAGAACAGTCTAGGACTGAAAAATGTTCTCATATGAAAAAAATCTATGATTCCTTAGGTCCAGTTCTAATTAAGCTAGAAAGTCTAGTCTTGGGTACTTTTACGGGTCGTTCGGAAAAAATGAGAAATTACTATGTCTTCTGGGAAGAGGAGACATACAAGTGTATTTTGGAGTAAGTTAAATATTTATGACCTCCAAAGACTTTAAATTAAATTAAGTTGTTTCCCAAAAGTTTTACATACAAAAATCTGGAATGTTTCTTGGATCGCTTAACTGGAAAAGAGCCCATGTTTGAAGTCAATGCAGTATTGGTTTTATCGGAAATCATGTTGGAGCCAACTTCAAATGAAATTAAGAACATGATAGTACAGGCTGCTAAAGATTTCCTAGAAAGGTAAATATTTGCATTTCGTCAATGATTTAACAACATTTAAATAATGACGTCCAATAGATTAAAAATGTTTACCCGTTGGATGGATGGCACCTGTTTGCCCTGCTCACCTATAGAACATATCGGAGGCACAAAGTACACATTTACATTTTACGAGGATGTTATAAAGGTATTAAAAACTGTATCTTAAAGAAAACAGCACCAAAAGTATCTATCTCTTTCCCATTCATAGATAAAAAATATTGGTGGGCTTCTAGTCAAAGTACAAGAACTAGCAAATCGAGTAGTCGAAGATGCTAAAAAATGTGTTAAAAAGTAAGTTGTAAACATCCCTCCAATAACAAGCTAATGTAAAATCCTTTTTACATATTTTTCCTCACTTTTTTGCTGGGCTACTAAACACTTTTCATATAACATAAAACTTTCAAAAATATTGTTTACAAAACACAAACTGAACACAAAATGTGATTTATTTTCAAAATTGCAACAGTATACACATCGAAAGAATTCTAAGGTACACATTTTTTTTGTTAAAATAAAATACTCTATTTCGATTTTAAGATTATATAATGTTTTATAAATTATGTGGACAAGAAGAACTTATTTGGATATAAAATATTCGATGTAATTTTATATTTGCAAATATAAGAATAAATAATTTAATATGTAAATTCGTAGGATATAGTTATAGGGCACAATTTGACTTTGATCTTAGTTTGCCCGGAAATTTGTGTTTAATTCTTGCTAAAGCTGGAGGTCCACACTACGCGTCTTCGCGGCAAAGCATTTTGTGCTTTTCATACATTCTTTGCATCCTACGCATCAAGTTACATGCTACGCTTCTTAAGCGTAAATTGTTTGCTTTATTTACAAAGAACTTCGCGTTTTTTTTAAGTTTTTATTTATATTTTCCAGGGACCGTAACCGTTATGATTTTTATAATAAAACTCAGAAAATAATAATTATTTTGGATTTTTATTTTTTTTGGTGGAAATAATAATTATTTTCTGATTATTATTTTTTTGGGCAGAAATAAAAATCAAAAAATTATTTTTATTTTTTTTTTTTGCAGTAATAATAATTATTTTTTGATTTTTATATTTTTGACAGAAATAAAAATCATTAAGGTAATATCATTTTTGTTTATTCATTTGTTTGTTAATTCGCTTGATATTTTTCTTTGCTTATTTGTTTATTTGATCTTAGATAGTTTCTTTGTTTGTTTGTTCGTTAGTTTGTTTATTTGTTCGTTCGTCAGTGTCTTTGTTTGTCCGTTTAATTGTTTGTTCGTTAGTCTGTCTGTCTGTTTATTTGTTTGTTCATTATTTTATTTTAATATAAAATAATATAACATATAGATATATTTAGTTATACATTTTATTATTTATAAAATTGTTTTTTTATTTGTTTTTTTTTATCAAGCTAAAATACGAATTACGTATAAAGAAGAAGAGCTATACTTATTTTTTTTTTTTTGTAATTATACATTTTCAATTAGCTAAATAAGACAATGTGTCCTTAAATAAACATGTATTTTATATTTTGTGTACTTATAACAAAAAAATAAACAAACAATTTTATAAATAATAAAATGTATAACTAAATAAATCTGTATTTTATATTATTTCATCTTAAAATAAAATAATGAACAAACAAATAAACAAACAGACAGACTAACGAACAAACAATTAAACAAACAAACAAAGACACTGACGAACGAATAATGATTTTTATTTCTGCCAAAAATATAAAAATCAAAAAATAATTATTATTTCTGCCAAAAAAAAAAAATAAAAATCATTTTTTGATTTTTATTTCTGCCCAAAAAAATAAAAATCAGAAAATAATTATTATTTTTTGCCAAAAAAAATAAAAATTAAAAATTTAAAAAGCATAGCGTTTTATAAAAATATAGCTCAAATCAATAAAAATGGTATCTTTAAAGTTGTTCTCCTATAATTTCTTATATTTGATTTTTTTCTTTAAAAATTCAAAGATAATAATTATTTACGATCCCTGATATTTTCACAATTTAACTCGTTTTAGTTTATTAAAATTGATAAATGCACATTAAAAATAGAATATAAATTGTCAAAATCAGCTGACATGTTCGTGCGCCGCTTATGACGCTTACAAAAGTAGAAAGTAGATCTACTTTAAGCATTCTACGCGTCAAGGCATCCTACGCATTTTTGCTTGTAACTTGTAGCACACAACAACATTGATACTACTTTATTGATAGCCACGTAGAATGCGAAGAAGCGTAGAACGCGTGGTGTGGACCTCCAGCTTAAGAATTGAAAGCAAAAGAGAATTAATGAATTTTCTCTTAGAATGTATAAAAAGTACTTGAAAAGAGAAAACTAAATTTCTCTTTTAAAAAATTGTATTGAAGTTTATTCAAAGAAATTTCTTTTGAAATTAAAATAAAATGGAAAAATACAATCACACATACTATTTTATGAAAATAAATATTTTATAAATTGACCCTAGCTGCCCTATATTTTTTAAATTGACCCTGCAAATTATGACCGTTAAAGTCATTTTTTGAAGGGGGGCCTATATGGAGGGTAGGGTCCATTATGTGATTCAACTTTCCATGAGCCTTGATCGTGTCGAATTAATTCGCTATACAGAAATTTTTAAGCGAGTTATGGAAGTTAAAATAATTTTCTGATGGATTCTTCATATGGATGGTAAAGTCAATCATCGACCGATTCTCATAAAATTTTACAGAAACATTTTAGTTCCTATACGAGCTTTTTTAAGCCAGTTATCTGCGTAATAGCTAGGCAAAATCGTGGATCGATATTGCCCATTTTCAATACCAAACAAACTGCACCAACTAAAAATATTTACAAAATTTTAGTTTTCTAGCTCATCCCGTTGGGACACTATCTTGTTTTCAACAGACGGACGGGCATGTCTAAATCATCTTAGAATATAATAAGGACCCAGAATATATATACTTTTGTGGGTCTCCGACAAATATTTCTATGTGTTGCAAACGGAATGTGGCCTTCGGTAGGTTAGTGGCCTCCGGTAGATTAGTGGTTAGTGTTGAAGTCTGGTAGACCGGAGTTGGTGGGTTCGATTCCCACCTGAAGCATTGCTTAAGGAGCGCACAACAGGCCCGATAGAGGGGTAGGTGTATTTGTTCAGATTTGATGTATTATATACATCCTCCTCTCAAACTAACTAACTAACTACAAACGGAATGACACCCATATTTTTTGATGGTGGTTATAAAAATGTGTAGCATTACAGACCAACACTCTAACAAAGCAAGTTAAGCAAAAGCTTGTAATAAAATTAATTTTTATACCCTTTACCTTCGTGAAAAGGGTATATATAAGTTTGTCATTCCTTATCATCGATATAAAAATTTCAAAAAATATAGGTTTAGTTAAAGAAATATCCGACATTTAATAGCTTCTAAACAGAATCTCCAAGAGCTCTTAGAAATATCTTACAGGAATATGAAAGATAAATTAGCTGTAAGCTATACGAATAGTTTTCTTGTACCTTATAATTCTTTCGAGGTGTGTACATCTTATATTATATAACTGTTTTACACATACATGAAACTCTAAGTGTTGCCGCATGATAAAACCAAACAAACTAACCAGTTCCTAACCAATATAGATACATACATATGCACAACATTGATAGTTTTCTATAATACATATTACCACCATACACGAACGCGTTCCCAGACTCGTTTTCCACAAATGTTTATGTATGACAGTATCTTGACAAATTAAAATTAAAAAAAATTAACTGATATAAAATATCTATAGTAAAACCAAATATAGTACATTTAAGGATTAGGAAAGTCCAGCAACGAAGTGCACATGTAATATTTTCTTTCGTTCATGCAAAAAGTTCTAATTTTTTAAGAAATTTTTAGAGATTGTCTCGGATTTTTTTTTCATATCTCCGTTATATATAGGCTGATTTGGCTGATTTTAAATAGGAAACTTCTCGAATCCATGTCTGATAGAATTATTGAAGATTTAGGGCCCTAATATGTCCGGGGTCTTCTGAAAATTGATTTCAACAGACATACAGACAGACGGATATGGCTTAAGTAATCGACATCGCTATTTATAAAGATCGTGAATATGTATAAACTTTATGGTGTCGGAAAATTTTATTGTGGAAATTACAAACGGAATGAAAAACTTATACATAACCTTCTCAAGAGGTGAAGAGTATAAAAATATAAAATGATAAAAAATAAAGTGTGGTAAAAAGGATCCAGAACATAGAAAAACGAAATCCAAATTTAGAGGAAAAAAAATCAACAAGGATTGAACAAATGTAATCAAAATAAATATTTAATAAATCGAGTATTCTCCAATATTTAATTAAATAGACTACGTATAGCTGTAGTAATGAAAAATCGCTATTTTTGTAGTTAAGAAACATTTTCCTAAAGTAGCAATAAATAAAATTAAAGTTTTTAACTACCAATAATTTGGCAGCAACTGCTACCTAATTGAAGTAGCAATGAGACCAAAATGTTGGTAGCATGGTGAAACTAATAAGGTGAAGTCATTTCAACAGCTGATTGTTTTTTTGTTCATGGAAATTTAGCCCGATGCTGTCAAATTCCATATAAACAAATTCTTTCTCAAAACTGACGCTGTCAAACTCCATATATAAAATTTTTTATGAATTTGACGCAAAATGAAATGACTTCACCTTATAATCTATTTGCATGAAAAATAAAAATTTTATTGAAATTCGAAAAAATAAACGAAATTACAAATTCAGAAAAAAAAAGGCACAAGTAAGCAGCGGGAAAAAATACTAGGACTTCGATTCGTGAGCCTTCTAAAATACATATTTACATATTATAAAGATGCGATACTCATTTCGCATGAGATATTCCAAGAGGACTTTGCTTCCTCTTCTAAAAGGATTCATTAAAGGTTTGTGTATCAAATTTTGTATGAAAATTCACGTTATAAAACATTTATAAATTGAAATAAATACGTCAATATGGCTATTAATGTAATTTCCTATGAGGACATTCTACAGATCCATCGTCTGAAGATCTTCTAATAAGCCTTAGCGCAACATTTTTTAAAAACTGAACATTAAAAAGCATTATACCATTTAAAAAGCTTTATAAGTATGTATTATAATAAAATAAGCACTCACCTTATTTAACACTTCTTTTTTCCTTGTTTCCTTTCCGCAAACAGCTTCAATTACTCTTTTTTACAAATTTTCAATTTGCTTATACATTTATTTTCACAACATTGTTCGTTATATTTTCTTCTAATTTATAGATTTTTCATTTGCTT